TTGGCTTCAGCCTGACCCAGCCCTGACTGCTGTGGTCAAGATCTCTTTCTCCATCTCTCCCTCTCTGTAACTCTGCCTTTCAAATATAAAACTCTTCAAAATAAATACTTGCAAGAATGTGGAGAAAAAGAAATCCTTATATATACAGCCATTATGAACAGCAGTATGAAGGTTCCTCAAAAAACTAAAAATAGGGCAGTCATTGTGGCACAGATGGTTAAGTTACTGCTTAAGATGCCTGCATCCCATCTTGGACTGCCTGGGATCAAATCCTGCCCCCACTTCCAAACCACTTTCCTGCTAATGTGCCTGGGAGGCAGCAGATGAGAGCCCACGTGCTTGGGTTCCCATCCCCCAGCTGGAAGGTCTGGATGGAGTTCCTGGCTCCTGGTTTCCACCTGGCCCAGTCATAGCTGTCACAGGCATTTGGGAAGTGAACCAAGGGAGAGATGATAGCTCTCTTCTATGTTACTCTGCCTTTCAAATAAATCTTTAAAAAAAAAAAAAAAAAAGTAAAGAAATGAAACAAAACTACAAATAGCTCCCCTTTTTGACCCAGCTATCCCACTTCTGGATATACACTCAAAAGAAATGAAGTTAGCCAATCAAAGATGTATCTGCACTCTCATGTTCATTGCAACACTATTCACAATAGCCAAGATATGGAATCAACCAAGATGTCCATCACTAGAGGAATGAGTAAAGAAAATGTTTCATATATATCACACATACCACACACACACACACCCCGGAATATTTGGGCATTACAAAAGAATATATTCCAGCATTTGAAGCACAATGGACAGAACTGGAAGTCCTTTGGTTAAATGCAATAAGCCACACACAAAAAGACAAGCATTGCACTTCCTATGTGGAATTTTTTAAAAAGTTGATCTGAACCTGGAATAGTGATTCCTAGGCAGTGTGAAGGGTGAGAGTGGAGGAACAGAGGCAGGTTGGATAGTGACAATTACATTCACAATAATGTAGTATACACTTTACTATGAACTACATGGGAAGACCGTGTAGGCTCCAAACATAAAGATAAGGAAATGGAAATAGCTGCCAGACTTGATCAGCATACCTTGCATGCATGTGTTACAATACTGCACTGAACCCATTTTAAAAAACCCACAGAACTTTCATGTACCCTCCAGGCTGACCACACTCCTGGAACATCCATATATTCAGCCATCCAGAAACTCTTCCAACACTGTCCTTTTGGGGTATTTACAGAGGCTTCATTACACAAGTACAACTGATAAAAACCACTGACTCCTTTCCAAAACTCTTTAGAGGTTGGGACTGAAAGTCCCAACTCCCAAATCGTATCTCCCCACTGCTTTCTGGTGATCAGTCCTCATTCTGAAGTTACCTAGTGGTTACCTGTCAGCAACCAACACTTTAGCATACAAAAAGGCACATCACTGAAAATTGCAGGGATTTTTAAGAATTGTATGTCAGGAAGCAGAAATGAAGACCTAGCTTTATTTTATAATATCACAAATACATACTACATCAATTTCATTTATATAAGCTTCAAAATAGGTTACAGAAGCCAGAAGGGAACGTGACAGGTGGAGGGCTGTGGTGTGGACAGCACTTCTGGGATGCTGGGTCATATTTCTTGATCTGGGTGCTGGTTACATGAGGACCTATTTCTTAAGAAAAGTCACTGAGTTGAAGACTTGTCACTTGTGCACTTTGCTTTATGTGTGGTATTTTTCAATGAAAAGCCAATGAATCAGGGGTCCTTCTGACGAGGCAATATGAGGAAATCATAGATAGCAGACCTCTGTACTACTACCAAATTATCTTAGGCTCCATTCAGCATTTCATCTCACCCAACATCTGCACCGAGATTCCCCAAGAGTGTGAATGAACTGGAAGTGCAAGTCTGTCTTGTCCCAGAGAGGCCTTAAGCTTCTAGAAGATAGATACTACGGGGTCTTGATGTCACAGATATTGGCAATCAGGGATATGCACACCAACGTGTCTAAGAGCCACGAGAAAAACAGTTAAGGGAGCTGCAGTAAAAGTAACAAATATTGGAGCCAGTATGACAGAATGTGGCGCTAACTCTTCATAGATTTATCTCATTCAATTTTTACAACAGGGCCAGCATTGTGGGGCAGAAGGTGAAGTGAAGCCGCCACCTGAGAAGCTGGCATCCCATATGGACGCCAGTTCCAGTCCCAGCTGTTCCAATTCCAATCTGCTCCCTGCTAGTGTGCCTGGGAGAGCAGCGGATGATGGCCCAATTGCTTGGCCCCTGCCACCAACATGGAAGATCTGGATAGAGTTCCAGGTTCCTGGCTTCAGCCTATGCCCAGCCCAGGACATTGTGGCCATTTAGGGAGTGAATCAGCAGATGGAAGATCTCTTTTTCTCTGTCTCTCCCTCTCTCTCTAACTCTGCCTTTCAAACAAATAAATAAATCTTAAAAACAATAGGTCCTCAATAAGAAGTATTTACTAGTTGAAACAGAGATGTTATTATCAATTAAAGGTGCTAACCTTTCCAGTGTTAAACAGAATTGCACAGCCTTGACTCTAAGCCTGAAGAGTCAGACCCCAAAGACTGCTCTGAACTACTTCATCTTACAACCCTTCATTTCCTTACCCATAAAAGGAAGATAAAAGAATTCTCCTTTTGGGGCTGGCACCATGGCGCAGGTTAATTCTCTGCCTGCAGAGCCGGCTTCTCATATGGGCGCCGGATTCTGTCCCGGTTGCTTCTCTTCCAGGCCAGCTCTCTGCTGTGGCCCGGGAGTGCAGTGGAGGATGGCCCAAGCCCTTGGGCCCCTGTACCCACATGGGAGACCAGGAAGAAGCACCTGGCTCCTGGCTTCAGATTGGTGCAGCTCCGGCCGTTGCGGCCATTTGGGGAGTGAACCAATGGAAGAAAGACCTTTCTCTCGTCTCTCCCTCTCACTGTCTGTAACTCTACCTTTTAAATAAATAAATAAAATCTTAAAAAAAAAAAAAGAATTCTCCTTTTATTGCACCAGTATTAACTAAGCACCTGTTGTGTGCCAGGCACTGTTCTAAGATGATAAGAGGTTGAGAAAACACAAAATGGTAAATCCACACTTACCACTCCCTTACATTTCTTTGTAAGAGGCATTGGTTTTACTGATTTTTAAAATTTAACTTGATGTTATGGAATCACAGACAACTCATGCAAAATTCTGCATACTACTTTAGGGTATTCAAAATCCTTCTAACGTTCACATATTAGACTTCACAATTAAAAACTGTTGAGGGGCTGGTATTGTGGCACAGCAGGTAAAGCCACTACCTGCAGATGCCTGAATCCCATATGGGCACTGGTATGGCTGGTTCACATACCAGCTGCTCCTGTTCCAATCCAGCTCCCTGCTAATGACCTGGGAAAAGCAGGGGAAGATGACCCCAATTCTTTGGCCCCCGCCATCCAAGTGGGAGTCCAGCAAGAAGCTCCTGGCCTCGGCCAGGCCCAGCCCTGGCTGTTACCACCATCTGGTGAACAAGCAGATGGAAGTCTCTGTCTCTTCCCCTCTCTGTAACTCTGACTCTATAAATAAATACATAAGTAAATCTTTAAAAAAAAAGATTAATATTTTATTTATTTGGAAGGGAGAGTTACAGAGAGAGAAGAGACAGAGCACGAGAGAGATCTTCCATCTGCTGGTTCATTTTCCAAATGGCTGCAACAGTGGGGCTGGGCCAGGCAAAAGCCGGGAGCCCAGAGCTTCTTCCTGATTTCTTACAGGAGTGTAGGGCCCAAGAACTTGGGCTATCCTCCACTGCTTTCTTTCCCAGGCGCATTAGCAGAAAGCTGGATGGGAAGTGGAGCGCAACTGAGTCTCCAACTGGCGGACCCATGTGGGATGTCTGCATCACAGATGGAGGCTTAACCTCTACACCCCAAAGTCGGCCCCAGAAATAAACCTTAAAAAAAACAAAAAACCAATGAGACACGGTAACTTATTATCTCACACCGGAAACCGTTGACATTCACAACCCATCTAATATGCCAGGGAAGGGGATATCGTTAATCATATTGATTGACAGCTCAAAGCAGACCTAATCATCGTAGTTTCACAAACAACACACAGGATAAGAATCTCGCCATCTTTTCCCACTCAGTCCAGTGCTTTTTCCAGCTGTCACGACAGAAGGTCCCCCTACTGCGGGTTGGACTGGAAGTATCACTGAGTTTCCCTCCTGGAAAGAAGATGCGGGGGAACCCGGCAGTTCAGAGCAGCTCATCTTCAAGAAGACGACCTGGATAATGAGCCCTGGCCGCTAGGTCACAAACGACCCCGAGCTCCCTCTCTGGCCCCAACTACTCTATCCGTAAAATGGAGCGATAGCATCCGCTCCGCCGCTCTGCAGTGTTTCGCACACTACAGCTCAAAGACGGAAACAACGTGAGTCCTGGACAAAGGCAACGCAAATGGAAGGAAAGACTAAAATCCTCAGTGAAGAGATTAAGGGCGCTGAAGGCAGGCACGCACGCGCCTCTCTACTGTTGGCTTCTGGTTCCCCAGGGCGAACTGTGCGTCCTTAGCGGAGCAGGAAGCCTTCTAGGAATCCGACGTGAAAGAGGAACTCTCCTAGCGGGAGTGCGAACAGTGGCTGTCTGCTGCCGGGTGAATTAAGGATAAATGAGTCTACAGAGGAAAACGGCGGTTTTAGGGGCTCAGGTCGCCTTCCAGTCCGCGCGATGCACACTCACCGGGCGCCAACACTTCTCGCTCGAACCGCAAGCCGTTCGCTTCCCTCCGCTCCTGCTTCGGGAGCTCCGGGGGCTGCAGCAACTCTCCACAGCAACTTTCCACAGCTGCGATCCTCCTTTCACAGCCACCGGTCGCACGCGAGAGCCAAAGCTACCGCTCGGGTAGGAATAGAAGGAATGTGGAGAAAAAAAAATTCCCGCCAAACGGCGTAGCCCCGCCCCCAGACCGCCCTCGCGTTACGCCACTGGCCCGGTCGCCCCGCCCACCCCGGGGGACGCACGGCGTACTGCCGCCTACGTGCGGCGGCCATGGTGGATCCGCGGCGCAACGCGCCTCGCGGGCGTTCTCCGGGCTGTGGTGTTTCCGCTTTCAAGATGGTCGTCTAAGCAACCGAAGAGGCTTCCTCCTCCTCCTCCCCCTCTGAGACTCGGCGGTTTTTTTTAACTCTGGATGTGACGCATTAAAGAACACGACGGAAGTGGGGCTGAAGGCGTTCTAAAATGGCGAACCGTACTGTGAAGGATGCGCATAGCATCCACGGCACCAACCCTCAGTACCTGGTGGAGAAGATCATTCGGACGCGAATCTATGAGTCCAAGTACTGGAAAGAGGAGTGCTTTGGGCTTACGGGTGAGCGGGATCGCGCGAGGCGTGGCTCCTTAGTCCCGACTGGGCGCCGGGGGGCTGGGGGAGAGCGTGTCAGTCGTTCAGACAGGAGCGCCAGCTGTTTCCTCGTCTTTTGTGGATCGTGGGGGGCACAGATGAATCTGATAGGGCCTCGCCGTATTCTGAAGGGTTTCTCGAGTTCTTGGAGTCATTCCCCGCTTAACGGTGGCGTGCAGGGTTCTGAGCAATCTTCGGCTCAGGAACCTACTGTAGCTCCTTGACGTATCCTCTTGAGCTATCAAAGGGCCGCAAGTGTCCGACACAGTATTCTTCATCTCAGTGCCCTTAACTGCGGGCCAGCTCACTATTTCCGGGTGCGAGTCCTAATTTGAATTGCAGTACTGAGGACTTTGAAGCTAGTCTTTTAATCTTCTTTACCCCCCATTTTCCTCAAGTGGAAATGGGGACAGTGCCAGATACTTCCTCACGACATGAGAAGATTGAGATAATGTGAAATGCTTAGATATCCGGGCATATAGTGATATTTCAGTGTGTATGGATTACTGTCATCATTAGTATTACCATTAAAACACACTTGTTCTATTACACTACTGGTGACTTCTGAGGAGCGCTGAACCTTGAACCAATGCCACTTCCAACCAGGAAAATCTTACCCCTAATATGATTGAGGTGTTACTATTTGTTTTTGTTTTTTAGCTGAACTGGTGGTCGATAAAGCCATGGAGTTAAGGTTTGTGGGTGGTGTCTATGGTGGCAACATAAAACCGACTCCTTTTCTGTGTTTAACCTTGAAGATGCTTCAAATTCAACCTGAGAAGGATATCATTGTAGAGTTTATCAAAAATGAAGATTTCAAGTGAGTGCAATATTGACTAATACAAAAAGTTCAGTGGTTCAAAATTGGGATTTTGTTAAGAGTTCTTTACACAACATTTTAACATTTCTCATTTCCACAAAGAGTTCCACTCTAGGTTTTTTTTCTTAAGTTTGTGTTTTCTCTGTTCTGATTGTGATAATCTGCTTTACTTTCTTAGTCATGATCATTTTCCCCCTTTAATAGAATTTCCCATTCCCTGAACATATATTATGTAGAAGTGAGGGCCTAACAGGATAAGCACTGGACACTCACAAGTGGAGAAAACAACAGAGGGTAGTAATTATGAGATGTTAGATCTAGGTTCATGTCCAGACTCTTAATAATTGTAACCTTGGAAAAGTTACTTAATTTTCAAATCTTTGCTTTCTTTTTCTGTAAAAAGGAGACAAATACCTACACAGAGGATTTATGTGAGAGTTGAAGGTGGTGCTTGCAAATTTGTCAGCACAGTGCCTGTTGCATGGAAAACAACTGGAAAGTATCAGCTGCTCTTAACTATTTTATCCCATTCTCAAGAAGCTCACAGAGCAGTATAGAGACAGACATGATAATGGAATATTGTGTATTATATCCTAAGGGCTTTACATATAATTATTCATTTGTCTTCCTAGCAACACTGTAAAAGTATTATCCCTTTATTACAAAGTAGGAAACTGAGGCAGAGATTAAATAATTTGTCTATGGTCAACAGCTAGTAAATGGCAAAACTGACTCCAGAACTCATATTTACTAGTCTCCTTCTCATATAAAGAAGCTGTTGGGTTTCAAAAGCCTGGTAGTTATCTATGTGGAGAGCTGAGTAAGTAGTTGGATATAGGAGGAAGGGAAAAGGAAGGAATCTTTCAAAACATTGGCAGCTACAAAATAGCTGATTTTTGTTAGGCACTTATAATATGCTTTAGCACTTTGACCATTTCTTATTTCATACATTGGGCTAAAGACTTAGTTATATAATATCCATTTTACAAGAACTGGGGAAGACAAGTAACGTGTTCAGTGTCACAGAGTTAGCAAATAATGGAATCAGAATTTTAACCCAGATGGATGACCTTTTTCCAGAACCCACATTCTTATCTATTGTGCTACTGTTGTTAATTAATGCATCTATGCCTTCTGTTAAATTTAGTATCTCATTTGATTCTTAGATTAATCCTGTGAGGTAAATAGGTTTTATCCACATTTTACAGATAATATAATTGAAAATTGAATATGTCCAAGGTCCCAAAGCTAGTACAAAATACAACTTGAGCTCTCTTGACTGTCAAAGTGAAAAAAACATGTTTGTCTATTGTTGTCTTAAGAAAAGCAATCGTAAAACTAAAAAACGTCTTGGGATGGCCTGTTATTTCACTGTCATCTCTGTTAGGTATGTTCGTATGTTGGGGGCACTTTACATGAGGCTGACAGGCACTGCGATTGATTGCTACAAGTACTTGGAGCCTTTGTATAATGACTATCGAAAAATCAAGAGCCAGAACCGAAATGGGGGTGAGTATGGTACCAAGGCTCTGGACTGTCATTCCTAAGCCAGTTTTTATTTCACCAATATCTCTACCTTTGCATTGTCTTGTATACCGTGAGGCCTCCTCTTCATCTCATTGTGCCTTAATTCATGTACTTCATCTCCCTCATGGGGAGTATGCAGTCTGACACAGCTTCCTGTTGCACTCATACGGTCTCTCTCTGTATGCTTCCCTTTCCCAGCTTCACGTTAATCCCTGCCTTGTATCACGTGCTTGCTCCACATGTGTTCCATCCCTCAAGATCTAGCTTTAAAAAAAAAAAGAGGCAAGGCTTCTCCACATAAAATATTCCTCAATCCTCCCGAAGTCAGTTTTCCATATATTATATCTTCATAGTTGTTTCTAGTAGCCTCTTCTCCAGAACTGTACCCCATACTGCCATATATAGACTATATGTAGCACTGGAAAATATATCTTTACAGAGAAACACTTTTAAAAAAGTTTATTTGTTTTAAAGGCAGAGTTATAAGAAGGTGGAGAGAGAGAGAGAGAGAGCAGGCGCTCTTCCACTCACTGCTGCGACTGAGACTGGGCCAGGGCAAAGCCAGGAACCCACTACTCCATCCAAGTATCACACATAGGTGCCAGGTGCAAGCACTTGGACCATCTTCTGCTGCTTTCCCAGGCACATTGGCAGGAATCTGGATCAGAAATGGAGCAAGTGAGACTTGAATTGGTGCCCATAAGGGATGCTGGTGTCACAGGTAGTGGCTTAACCTGTTGTGCCACAATGCCAGCCCCACAAAGAGAGACTTTCTGTATGAAAGAAGGATTCAAAATAATGTGATTAAATGTTTTTCTCACTATGTCATAGCAAAAGATAGTAACATTTGCCTTTGCCTTTTATTTATATGTATCTTTAAATAATAGAAAGTTAAGTATTTTGGTACAGGTTGAGTAACCCTTATCCAAAATGCTTGAAACCAAAAGTGTTCCCAATTTCAGTAGTTTTTTGGATGGTAGAATATTTCCATAGACTTTACATATTGAGCATCCCTAAATGGAAAATCCAAAATGCTCCAGGATCTGAAACCTTTACAGGGCCAAAATGAGACTCAAAAAGCTCAAGATTTTAGAGGATTTTGAATTTCAGATTTTCTCATTAGGGATGTTCAGCTTACGTTATACTTTAAACTTTTATTAACTTATTAATTCATGCATTGAATAAATGCAAATTAAATGCCAATGACAGGCCGGCACCGCAGCTCATTTGGCTAATCCTCCGCCTGTGGCGCCGGCACCCCAGGTTCTGGGTTGGTTTGGGGCACCGGATTCTGTCCCGGTTGCTCCTTTTCCAGTCTAGCTCTCTGCTGTGACTGTGGCCCGGGAGAGCAGTGGAGGATGGCCCAAGTGCTTGGGCCCTGCACCTGCAAGAGAGACCAGGAGGAGGCACCTGGCTCCTGGCTTCAGATCGGCACAGCACGCCGGCAGTAGCAGCCATTGGGGGGGGTGAACCAACGGAAGGAAGATGTTTCTCTCTGTCTCTTTCTCTCTCTAATTCTGCCCGTCAAAAAATAAATAAATAAATAAATAAATAAATAATGCCAGTAACAGGTACTGTGCTTTCTACTGGAAATTTCATGATAAACAAAGATGGGCATGGTCACAGCCACTATGGAATGCCTTGTTTATTATATTATATTATATTATATTATATTATATTAGACTAAGACAAGATTTCTCAGCAGGTTGACATATTGTGTCAGATAATTCTTTGTATTTATTGGGGGTTGTTCTGTGCTTTGTAGTGTATTTTGCAACATTCCTAACCTTTTCCTAGTAGATGGAAGTGTAGCATTCTAAGTAGGGTGAAGGAAGTGCACAAAATAATCTATGGTTGTAAACTGCTGAACTAAGGTAATGTTTACAGTGGAAGTTCTAAAAAACTGTTACTACATGTGTCATAGAACATACATGCTCTGTATTCAGAAACATTGTGGGTTTATATGAAAAATACATGATGTGGCCGGTGCCGCAGCTCACTAGGCTAATCCTCTGCCTGCGGCACTGGGGCACCCTGAGTTCTAGTCCCAGTCAGGGCGCTGGATTCTGTTCCGGTTGCTTCTCTTCCAGTCCAGCTCTCTGCTGTGCCCCGGGAAGGCAGTGGAGGATGGCCCAAGTGCTTGGGCCCTGCACCCGCATGGGAGACCAGGAGGAGGCACCTGGCTCCTGGCTTCGGATCGGCGCAGCGTGCCAGTCATAATGGCCATTTGGGGGGTGAACCAACGGAAGGAAGACCTTTCTCTCTGTCTGTCTCTCTCACTGTCTAACTCTGCCTGTCAGAAAAAAAAAAAAAAAGAAGAAGAAGAAGAAGAAAAATACATGATCTATGCAAGAATACTCCTACATATAATTCAGGACTGTTTGTGCTTGCGTTTGTGATTTTCTCTCCTGCTAATTGAGACAACTTCATTTATCCCTTAGTCCCTTGCTTCTAAACAGGCTTGGCACATAAATTATCTCATAAAATGTCTTAACATTTCTTTCACTTTTATTGCAATCTAAATCCTTCTAGGTTGCTTAAGGTAATAACTTTCTTCTTTCAGAGTTTGAACTAATGCATGTAGACGAGTTTATTGATGAACTGCTGCACAGTGAGAGAGTCTGTGATATCATACTTCCTCGGCTTCAGGTAAGAGATGAAACTTTTATCACACCCTTTAAGATGTCATATCAAGGATTTTGTGGTTAGAGTAGTCAGTTTTTATTTCAAAGGTAGAGTTACACAGATGGAGAGAGAGATTTTCCATCTGCTGGTTCATTCCCCAAATGGCTGTAACAGCCAGGGCTGGGCCAGGGCTAAGCCAGGAGCTTCATCCAGGTCTCCTATGTGGATGGAGGGACTCAGGCCATTTTCTGCTGCTTTCTCCCAAGTCAACAGCAATGAGCTGGATCAGCAATGGAGTAGCCAGGACTTGAACTGGCGCCCATATGGCATGCCAGAGTTGCAGGCAGTGGCTTAAAACCCATTGTGCCACATTCCCAGCCCAGAATTCTTGATGTGTAAGATTATCAACCTATCAAATTCTTTTCAAATTTATTTTATTTATTTGAAAGGCAGAGTTACAGAGAGAGAAGGAGAGATAGAAAAATCTTCTACCTGCTGGTTCATTCCCCAAATGACTGCATCAGCCAGGACTGGGCCAGGCAGAAGCCAGGAGCTTCATTTGAGTCTTCCACATGGTTGCAGGTACCCAAGTACTTGGGCCATCTTCTGCTGCCTTCCCAGGTACATTAGCAAGGAACTGGATCAGAAGTGGAGCAGCCAGAAACGAACAAGCACCCATTGTATGAAATAAGAAATGCTCATAAAGTGCTAAAGTACATTGTAAGTGCCTAATAAAATTTAGCTCTTTTGTAGCTGCCAACGTTTTGAAAGATTCCTTCCTTTTCCCTTTCTCCTATATCCAACTACTTTGTCAACTCTCCACATAGATAACTACCAGGCTTTTGAAACCCAACAGCTTCTTTATATGAGAAGCAGACTAGTAACTGTGGGTTCTGAAGTCAATTTTGCTATTTATTAGCTATTTGACCTTTCATTACCTTTGCAGGTATTTGGGGAGTGAACCAGAGGATGGAAGATACCTCTTCTTTCTCTCTCTTTATCCTTACTGCCCCTCTTCTTCACCCTACCTCTGTCCCTCTGTCTCTCTCGCTCTGCCTTTCAAATAAATAAAAATTAAAAAATTTAAACTTGCAAAAGACTGTTAGAAAACAAAATAAAAAAGCAAGCCATAGAGTAGCAGAATATGTTTACATAACATAAATGAGAGCTCTTCAGAAAGTGGGTGGTAAAAACTATTAATTTCAAAATTTATCATTTTTGTAAAAAAGATTTTTTATTTATCTGAATGATAGAGTTTACAGAGCAAGAGGGAGAGGCAGAGAGATCGTCCATTTGCTGGTCCACTCCTCAAGTGGCCGCAACAGCTGGAGGTGGGCCGATCTGGAGCTGGGAGCCTGGAGTTTCCTCTGGGTTTCCCACTTAGGTGCAGGGGCCCAAGGATTTGGGCCATCTTCCATTGCTTTCCCAGGTACATTAGCAGGGAGCTGGATTGGAAGTGGAGCAGCTGGGACTCAAATTGGCGCCCATATGAGATGCAGGCACTGCAGGCAATGTTTTTACCTGCTACTCCAGAGCACCAGCCCCCCCCCCTTAATCTTTTTTTAAAAACTGAGGTGAAATTCACAGAATTAGCCATTTTAAAGTGTTGCTTTTATTATCACAATATCATACAACAGCTACCATCTTGCTAATTTCAAAACTTTATCGCCCCCAGAACAATGGCCATTGTATATTAGCTACTACAGAGTATGAGTGATGAGAATGAGATTTAAAATCTCAAGAAATTTCAAGGCTCGGTTCTCTAACACTGTGGTTCACATTAGCTATTATTATCTTCAGAGATACTGTAAGAAATAAGGAAATGTTTATATATGTAGTTGGGGGTTCCAAATCCCCATCAGTCTAGAAGGAAAAACCACATCACAAGAATTTGTGTGTTTATCAAGCACCCCTGATGAGGAGAATATTGAAATCTTACTGTTGGATGCTATATTGGCAAGAGGTGTGCTCTGGCATGGGCTTCTATATCTCCTGTCTGAAGTGACTGAAGACTACCTTTAGCCCTGGTTCTATTCTTATTATGTAACCTACAGCTCATTAATTTAGCTTCTAATGTGCCATGACATCTATAAGAAGTTGCTCTGGGATATATTCTGAACATAAATATACAAAGCAGTTGTATGTTGGTTTCACTCATGTAAACATGAAATACTGTAAATGCCCTGATACAGTCCCAGATCTTAAATGGTAGTTAGCCCGTAACTCTTTTGTTTCTCCCACCCATCATGGAATTCTGATGAAGGGTGAATGTCAGCTAAGTACTATCCAAATACTACATTATTCTAGGGCTATTCATCTGGGTCATTCAGCATTTTTTATGTCCTTACACAAGAAAATGGTATGACCCAGTCTATTTGGCAGTTTTGAACTCATATTTGCTTGTTGGGTACTTAGTAACTTATACGCACTACATAGCTACATCCCAGAAGAAAATGGAACCAGGGAATGGATTGTTATATCCCTATTCCTGGTTCAAAGTGCATTGATTCTCAACAGCTTCCTGGAACCTGGGTCTAATGGAGATTTGGTGTTACTTTGAGGCTGGACCTCTTGTTTTGAAACTGCTAGCCAAGAGTCTTAGCCATGAATTTAATGGCCCTTAGATTTTCTGTTGTATGAAGACCACAGTTTTAGTACTTGCTCTACATATACTGATTGATCATCCAATGACCTTAGAATGTAAGATCAATTTAAGGGAATAGTAGCAATATAGAATGAAGATTTATGTTTGAAGGGGAATGTAAAAGAGTAAGTAGATTGCAGATATATTAAACTGCTTAAGAAAATTTTGAATTGTCTATGATGTGAAATTGCCTTAGCTGTTCCATGGCTTCTCTATTGTATTTATTTATTTTAATATTTTATTTATTTGAGAGGCAGAGTTATAGGGAGAAAGGTCTTCCTTCCGCTGGTCCACTCCCTAAATGGCCGCAGCAGCTGGAGCTGGGCTGATCCAGAGCCAGGAGCTTCCTCTGGGCCTCCTATGTGTTTGCAGAGGCCCAAGCACCAGGACCATCCTCTACTGCTTTCCCAGGCTGCACACAGAGAGCTAGTTCAGAAGAGGAGCAGCCGGGACATGAAACACTGCCCATACTGGGGCTTCAGGACACAGAGGAGATGATAGTGACACCCTAACTCATTATATTCTCTGTAGAAACGCTATGTACTAGAGGAAGCTGAGCAACTGGAGCCTCGAGTTAGTGCTCTAGAAGAGGACATGGATGACGTGGAGTCCAGTGAAGAAGAGGAAGAGGAAGATGAGAAGGTGAGGCACCTGAGAGTTTAAGGGCTGGGGGAGGAATAATTATGAGGTTAAGAATGGTCCTTGTTTTTTATTCAGATTTCAGTAACCAAAACCACAATATTATTAAAAGTATGACTTTAAATCAATTAGACCTGGATTCATAGCTTTGCCAATTAGTAGCAATGTAATCATATGCAAATTATTTCATCCTCTGCAACATAATGATAATTTTTTCTCAAGACTGTTGAGTATTAGCATGGCATTGGCACATTATACTTATCTAATGAATGATACCTACTAAAATAAAGAGATGGACAAACTCTGTAATTGAACTTATCCTACAGGATAAGCCTAGTTTAAGGGAAAAAGTACTTACTGTGGAATCATGTTCTTTCAATACTAATTGTAATGCCAAAAAATTGAAAAGCAGCAGCTGCCCATCTGTAAGAAGCACTGAGAGTAACTATTTTATCAACCCAACTAATGTTGGGCAGCCATTAAAACCACTGTAAAAAGTATATAAAAATATGGAAAGTAGCATATATAAAATAGGAAAATCTAAAATACTTGTGCTCAAAATTAAAGTAACAATATATGCTTAAAAGATATCTACAAGCAAATGTGAAAGAAGTGTTAACCTGGGATTTATTTTTGTATCTGAGTTGAGTTTAGGATCTAATTCTTCTTCAGTAAAGATACCAGTGTTCTCACTATTTTTAAAATTCCATTCTTTCCCCACAGATCTGCATTACCATATTTGCCACAATTTGAAGTAGCATGTATATGTAGGTCTCTCTTTATTTTCTGCTAGTTATTTTGTCTGTCTATGTGCAAGCACCACACAATGTCAATAGTAAATTTAGTAAAGTAAGTGCCTCTTCACTTTGTTCTTCAGAATCTTGGACCAGTGTTTGTTTATATAGATGATAGGATCTATTTGTCATTCAAAACAAAAACATGGTAGAATTCTGATACTATATTTGAAACTTAATTTGGGAAAAGAGTGACATCTTACAAGTGATGCATCTATTTATTTGTAAGTAAATTGAATCAACTTTGCTGAGTTATAGTTTTTTAGGGATATATTCATTTTTATATTCCTCTTCATCCATTCTAGCAAACCTTATCCTGCTTCTATGGTTCTACATTGTTTTCATTTTTTTTCTTGCTGCTTTTGACTCTCAAATTGACAGTTCTATGGACTGTGTCTATACGTGTTTATTGTTGCATCCTTCTTTGCATCTCTGACCTTCTGTTACCTTCCTTTTGCTGAAAATACATACTTTAGCATTTCCATCTGTGTTCGTGAATAATTGACTTTATGTCCCTCTCATTCTTAAAATGACTTTTTGAGCACTCAATTCTAGATTAGCAGTTATTGTCCCATAGTACATTAAAAATACTATTCATTAAAATATTTTTCTTACTGGGATAAATTTGTTTTCATTCTAATTCTTCAATAATGATCTCTAGTGTTTCTCACCCTCACCGGATATAAAAATTTACCTATTTTGTAACTTTATTATGTCTCAAGGCTTCTGTTTCCTTTTACCTACCTTTGTGATCTGTTTGCTTCTCAGATGTTTTCCATCAGCTCCAGGAAGTTAAGAGCCCTTTGCTTTGTCTATGATCTCTAAGAAGGCCATTTACATGTGTGTAAGCTCTTACTCCATCCATAACCTTATCTCTGTATTTTCTGTCTTATCTCTTCTGTCATGTATTTTATGTATTTTGCTTTAAAGATTTATTTATTTGAAAGGCAGAGTTAGAGAAAGAGAAAGGTCTTCTGTTCACGCCATAGCAGAGAGCTGGATCGGTAACGGAGCAGCCGGGATTCAAACCGGTGCCCATATGGGATGCTGGCACTTCAGGCATCGGCTTTACTAGACATACCTTCCAGTTCACTTGCTTTTTTTCACTCTCTTGTATGATCAGCTCTTTCATCTGTAATTACATTTTCTAGGAGTTGTTTTTTTTTTCAATCCATCAGTTCTTCCCTAAACACCTCTTGTGGGTTATTCACCTCTATGATTGTGCTCTTTATTTCTTTAAACCACAGCTCGGTATTTTCTGTTCGACAATTAAGCATCATTCTTGAAGGTGTTTACTTCTGTGTATAGCTATTGCTGACTCTCAGTGGTGATACCTTCCCTTCTTGTGATTGGTGACATTTATTGCTTGACCATGCCTGGTGAAGTTCCGTTGTGAGTAAACTGAAGATTGGGAAGTTTTATTCCAAAAACTATTTAGTCATACATGTCTTAACAATGGCAGTATGTTTTGAGAAGTACATCCTTGGGCAATTTTATCACTGTGAACATCATTTAAGTGTGCTTAAATAAATTTGGGTGGTGTTGTCAATTAGTGTGGCCTCAAGAGATTCCATGAACGGATTTATGAGGCCACTGCTGGGATAGCATAGCTTACTCTTTTAAATTTTTACACTAAATTAGAAAGAATATAGTTTCTAGTGATATGCTACGCATAACCTGTGGGCTAACTTTTATACAGTGGGCAGTGCTGAGGCACTACAGCTGCAACATCCTAGGTGATAGGAAGGGACCACCATCATTATATGTGGTCAGTCATTAACTGAAACATCGTTATGTGCTGTATGACTACAAGTAGAATACAAATACTGACTGACAGGTTTTCAGCTGTCTGAGAATTGTTGTCCAGCATGTATCCTAGCCTCTTCTACCAAAGCACTGCAGCTGTTGGCATTTGTATTCAGGCAGCCTAACTCTATAGGCTCCTGCTACCTTGGCTCCAGTGCCATTGGATAAACATCAACTCAAGTTTGTTTTGTTTTGCCAGTTTGTTCTTGAAGGAATACCTGGACCAGCATGGGTCCTGTCATTTGATTTATTTCTGCACTCAGGATCCCTTGTGGGATCTAGTAAGTTAAATGATAGAAAAATAAGGTCTATATTGGAATTTTTACAGTTTTCTCAAGGTTAAATATTTTTGGTTCTGCAAATGCTGAAGTTTCTTTTTAAGGTATAAAGCTTATAAAGCAGTTTAATGTTAAAATTAAGTACATGAATGCAGAGGCTTGTTTTCTAATAAGTTTAATGGTGAATCATTAACAGCATTCCAAATAAGATGAGGAAAAAACAAAGCTGTCTGCTGTCACTGATTTCATACAGCAATATTTCTGGTAATGAAAACTGATTTAATTAAATAGAATAATGAAAGTGGGTATTGGCCAGGAGGGGGCAAAATTATCAGTCAATTAAGAACCTATTGCAAGCAAGAATTCGGAAACATAGCTGAGTAAAAAAGTATAAAAGTTCATAATTTTCATTGATACACTTTAGAAAATATAAAAGATCATCACAATACCATGAGGATTTTTAAAACCAGGAATAAACTTAAGAAATAGGCAATGATCTATTAAGAACAGAATGGAAAAGTAGCCCTGTTACGTAGAAGATATTGTGAAGATACCTATTATTCTGGCCGGCGCCGCAGCTCAGTAGGCTAATCTTCTGCCTATGGCACCAGCACACTGGGTTCTAGTCCCAGTCGGGGCGCCGGATTCTGTTCCGGTCGCTCCTCTTCCTGTCCAGCTCTCTGCTGTGGCCTGGAAGTGCAGTGGAGGATGGCCCAAGTGCTTGGGCCCTGCACCCGCGTGGGAGACCAGGAGAAGCACCTGGCTCCTGGCTTCAGATCAGCGCAGTGCGCTGGCCGTAGCGTGCTCACCACAGCAGCCATTGGGGGGTTAACCAATGGAAAAGGAAGACTTTTCTGTCTCTGTCTCTCTCTCACTGTCCACTCTGCCTGTCAAAGGAAAAAAAAAAAGATACCTATTATTCTGAAATACCTAAAAATTTCATGTTTCCAATATAAATGGGTTTCTGTTTCTACTCTACTACATATTCATATTCTAAACCTTGTGAAATGTGAAATTTTTTGTGTTTTACAAAAATGCAAACTAAAGTTAATGGAGTTTATAGGGAAAAGTAGGTAGTCCACTAAAAATCTATGCAACTTTGTATCAGGACATATCAAAGAGTAATTGAGAGATGATATGGACAATTCAGACTGGCAACCTCCTGTGGCTGGAAGCTTCCTCAGGGTATAAAAAGTACACAAAAAGGGGTAGGGAAAGTAAAATTACTGACTTACAGGTACTGAAAAAGTGAAAATGGACCCTTTAAACTCTCTCAAGTGAGTACAAGAATCCACTATGAACTGAAAGTCATGCAAAGCCAGAGAAGTGAATCACAGTAGACATTGTCTAGATTTTTAAAGGAAAATTTCTATCAGATCCAAAGTGAAGAGAGCGTTTCCAGTTTCCAAAGATTATCAACTCATTGCTAATTTATTTCCGCTACATTGCTTTCCAGGTATCTAATTATTTTGAATCAGACTGCAGACATCATGTAGTTCATAATATTTCAGGAAAGACAAAGACTACCATTTTATGATTAGCCATATCATTAATCACCCTCCAAAAAATACCAAAAATAATTCCTGAATTATATTCCAGAAATAATTACTGAATATCAAATATTCAGTATACACTTTTCCATCTATAATTTTTAACTGCTTGGGTTAGTATACAAAGGTTTATGCATAATAACTGTCTTTTTGTCTATAAGTTGCTTCCATCACTTTCTCAGTTTTTTTTAATCAAACTTGGAGGGCAATTTGATTAAAGCAAGGCTGGAAGGTAAGGGTGTCTCCTTTGGAATGGAGCAAAGTCACTTCATAGGAGTGGTATATATTTCTCTTGGGATGTTCAAAGTCTGGCTTTCTCACTTTTTGTAATGTTAGGATCCAGTGATCAATATCTAAAATCCAACAGATATGATAAAATGGTGATATATTCTAATTCTTTGATTTCTTCATTTGTTACCTGGAATAATCCTATAAAGAGAAACCTCCAAGATAAATATTTTATTTTTCTTTAAGTAACAGTTTCTATAGCAAAAGCAAAATAAATTCATTTTTAGCACCTTTGAAATAGAGTTGGCCCCCAGGTGATGAATGCTTTTCTTTGGTAACATTGTAGACTTGTGGTATTAACCAAATTTGATGTTTTAACCCATTGTTATCCTTATTGATGCTCAAATTGTCCCATCTTTTGACTAATGCAGGCCTCATCAATTTAACCAGAGACTTTATGTTAGTGGGTGGTCTTTGATAGTTTCCTTGCTTTCTGCACAGTGTGCCAGTTGCATCTTAAATGCTTTTGCCCTAGATCTGGAATTAATAATTTCTCCAAGAAGTTCTTGGTTTAATAGGATATGGTATGGGAACTATGTGTGCTTACTGCTATCAGGCTGATTGGTCATTGTTGCTAGGCTTTTAGAATTGACAGAGCTAGGGAAAAATTAAGAGAGAAGGGAGAACTTAACAGAGGGGAGATCTGATTTACTCACCAAACAACTGTAACTGCCAGGGCTGGGAACTCTACCTGTGTCTCCCACATGGATGGCAGGACTCCAGGCACTTGGGCCATTATCTACTGCCTTCCCAAACACATTAGCAGGAATCTGAATTGAAAGTGGAGGAGCCATTTCCAGTTGAACAAATACTCTGATAAAGGATGCTGGTGTCACAGGTGGCAGTTTAATCTGCACCACAGTGCCAGCCCCCAAGGTCCTTTCTTTCACAATGAAAATACAACTTCATGAGAATGTAAGCATGCTTAATTCTCACTACATTCACACAATCCCAGATAATACTAACATTATTGCAAAGTTTGTGTGTAGGCAGTTGGGATTGCTTTTTCTTTTTAGTATTATCCCTCTATGTAGTGAAGTTACTGTTTTTTTAAAGTCACTGGGAGATGAATTTTGGGACAGGATGGGGAGTGTAACCATTCCTAGGTAGATAGCTTTCTCTAAGCCTGTGCCTAGCACTAACTCATACATCTCCTTTCCAGTTGGAAAGAGTGCCATCACCTGATCACCGCCGGCGAAGCTACCGAGACTTAGACAAGCCCCGTCGCTCTCCTACACTGCGCTACAGGAGGAGTAGGAGTCGGTCACCCAGAAGGTAAGACTTTGCTCAGATCTCCTGGAAGAGGCCAATGACCAATATACAGGGTTGGGATTTCAGGGAAGGAAAAAGGCCAAATTGCAGAAATGTTTAACCAGTGTAGATCTGTTACTGCCAGGTCACCACCCACCAAAATCTCACTGGCGTAGAGTACCCATTTGTTTAGTTCATAATGTGTTGTCAGTGATTTACGCTGGGCTTGAATAGGCACTTTTTGTTTTTTGAAGTATTTTGCAGTCAGCTCTCTGCTAGCTGGTATAAGTTCACCTTAACTAGTTTACTGGAGGTATTCATCTCTTCTCAGTGCCTTTTATCCTTGATGTGTTTTCATGGCAGTAGCAGAATTCAAGAGCAAACAAGCCCATTCACACAAATGTTTTCCCAGTATCTGCTTGTATCATTTGCAAATATCCTACTGGCCAAAGCAAATCACGTGGACAATCCTAGAGTTAGACAAACAGAATATAACAGATACAGAAAAAGGTAAGGAATAAGAATTGGGATCATTTTTGCTGCATCCAGGGCACTAACCTTGGATCTCCTCTTCCTCTCCTTTCTCTGATAGGCGGAGTCGATCTCCAAAACGGAGAAGGTAAGCTTTGAGTCATTTTTAATGAAGGATAGCATTTTGGGGAGTGGCTATTGGTATTGTACATGTATTGCCCAACAGCCACAGTGGTCTGATGAGTTTCTTCTATAGCCCATCCCCTCGTAGAGAAAGGCATCGTAGCAAGAGCCCCAGACGTCATCGCAGCAGGTCTAGAGATCGACGGCACAGATCCCGCTCCAAATCCCCAGGTATATCATTTGTGCCTTTTGCCATTACTTAACAACAACAAAAAATGCATATACATACAAATACATGCATACATAAATATGAGGAACATTTAGCCTACAGAAGTACAGGAGTGCCTGATCATACTGGTACCTCATGGAACAGGAAATGGATATCAAATTCAGAAATCAAGGTTTATATGTTGATTTTCACTTTCACAGGCTTTGCTGATAACGATAATAGGCTTTGTTTTTCATCTGAAATTATAAGAATAGGGGCTTATACAGTAGTGGTAAGAGCCCAGTATGACATCTGTGAAATTAGTCATAAAGCCCTGATGTATATGAGGTGGTTTTATAACTACTTTGCCTGCCACACATACACAGACAATACTTACCACCTCACAGAGATATTAACAAGAGGTATCCACAGCATAAGCCAAAAAATATATATATATAAAGTTTATGGGAGGTGAAAAATGACAGTTTCAAAATAGAGTAGAACCTCATTCATCCAACAGCATGTCCTTTTCCAGGTCATCACCGTAGTCACAGACACAGGAGCCACTCAAAGTCTCCTGAAAGGTATGGACTGAATACTGTTTTCAATTTTAGAAACTTAAATAATAAAGTCCCAATTATAACAAAGTTAATTTGAAATTTTGTTTTGATAAGGATATTTGGAATTTTCCTTCATTACAAGACAAACTTGATTTGTTTCTCTGGGTATTATTAAGATTATATTAGCATATTTGTTCTGTATTGTTTTTTTCTAACACTGCAATATTCGATAAGTGATGAATTTTGGTCTAAAGAATCCTGAGATTTAGTCCCAACTTTTTTAACAGTTGAGTGATCTTGAATGAGTGATTTTCATTACAAACCCTTTCTACCACAAACACTGTTAGGTAAACAGCTTCTTAAGTGTTTCTTCAGTGGTACATTTTGGTTAGTAATGCCTGACTCAGAGTTGTCCGCGACATAGACTACCTCCACACATATTTAATGAATATTTTTATCTCCATCTTCATCGGTGTCAGCATATTATATTGGTCTTTCTCAAATTTGCTTACTCCTTAATCTAACCATTTATGTGTAATACCATTTCAGATCTAAGAAAAGCCACAAGAAGAGCCGGAGAGGGAATGAGTAATGGATTCAATTTGGTTTTAGTCCAAATGGCCTCCTCTGTATATGAGGGCATCTGTCTACGTGGAAGGATTAAGACCTGCTCCCCCAGGCAGCTATGAGAATATTTTGGTCTTTTCTTATCAAGTTTCTCCACTCTTTTTTTTTTTTTTAATGAAAGAGGTGCTGAGTTTTGTATCTCTTTGAATCATAACTAAAATCTTTGAGGGATGATGATGTTTCTTAAGGTCAGTTTTTGACCGGGCCAACCATGACTATATTCATATTTAGAATAGGGGTTGGAGATATGAATGACAAAAAAAAAGGATATGGCCACTTGGTTGACACTATCCTTTTGTGTTACTAGGCCCCAAAATACCCATTTTTCTGTAGTTTATTTTTGATTCGCTCTGTCATTGGAGCTACATTGAGAATCCTAGAGTTGATGTTGCTACAGTTATCCAAAGATCAAATCAACACAGCAGAGCAGCTCCTTTTGTCTAGCAGCAGCAAGTAATAATGAATAAGAAAACGAGGTAGCAGTAATTTTGCAAGAATAGAATACTTTCAGACACAAAGCTGCTTCTGGATCATTTAATCTGGTGCCATTGAACAGCTTTAACAGACAGTACCCTACATACAACACATTTCATTCTTACCCACAAGCCAGGTTGAGGTGCCTCGGCCTTTATCATTCACTGAGCAGTAGGGCAACAATGTTGAAAAAGATTTGATGGAAAATATCTAGTATTATTCATGGTTGTTACCTAAATTGTAAGACACTGATGCCATTCACAAATGTAGAAAATACAAAAAGAGACAGTTTGAGGGGAATGAAATGAGGGCTCTGGTGGTAGGGAAAATGATACATTAAGTTTTATTTTGCAACAGCTGTGGGATGGGATGGCATAGGGAATGTGACTGACATCCTGCAACTGTAGTCTGCCACAGGGAGAACTGTAATCACCAGCTGCCTTACAGGAACTAGCTTCTTGGAGGCCATATTTGATTACAGGATAAACAATTTGTTGCTTACACTGAACTGAAGGACTTTTGTAGCAATATTAAAGCAGTTTTTAATCTATTCGAGCTTTCATATTCTTAATGGTTCCTCTCATGGTAATGCCTGAGCTAAACAACATTATCCCTAAAAACTGTGATGGTTTACGATATAACTATCTGTAGGACCACCATTTAATAATAAACAAAATTTTCTAATTCTGTTGTAGAGTCTTAGCAGTTACTTTGTACAAGGTGGAAAGAAATGTCTTCTGGTTAAATGGCCCAGGAAGCAACCAAGTTAACATTGGTCTATTGTTAAAAGTCAAAATTTTAAGAATAAATACACTCACCCACACATACACACACACAAAAACCAACAAATGTTTGCAACAGAAATAAATCTCCCCAAACATTAATTTTAAAGAATACTTAGACATATGTAGAGTAAAATCTGGGCCAAAATTGGGCATGAAGACCAACTTACAGCAGGAAGCATAAAGTTTCTATTATTTAATTAGAACGAAGCAATAAAAAAAAGTAGGACATGTTAAATATCTTGATCATTTTGCTACAGCAGAGATGGTACAAACTTACCGGAAGGGCGTTTTCTGTCATCTGCATTTTACACATGGGATGCGGCTTTAGGGTGCTGGCTTGCTTTAAAGTGTATTTTGATGTTTAGAAGGCAGAGACAGATATCCTATATGCTGGTCTCGCATATGTTGGTTCACTCCTATAGCTAGGGCTGGATCAGAATGAAGCAAAGAGCCCAAAACTCCATTTGGGTCTCCTGCATGAGTGGAAGGGACCCACATACATGAGCCATTATCTGGCACTTCCCAGGATACACAGCAGGAAGCTGGAATTGGAAGCAGAGTCAAGACTCGAATCAAGACACTCCAATATGGGATGCAGGCATCCCAAATGAATGCCCCAGGATGGCAGCTTTAACACATTGTGACTTCAAACTACATAAAGGGTAAATCACTATTACCTCAGCACAAATATATTCTGAAATTTCAGGAAAGGTTTTTTTTTTTTTTTTTTTGGACAGGCAGAGTGGACAGTGAGAGAGAGAAAGGTCTTCCTTTGCCATTGGTTCACCCTCCAGTGGCCGGCGCACCTCGCTGATCAGGAGCCAGGAGCCAGGTGCTTCTCCTGGTCTCCCATGCGGTGCAGGGCCCAAGGACCTGGGCCATCCTCCACTGCATTCGTGGGCCACAGCAGAGCTGGCCTGGAAGAGGGGCAACCAGGACAGAATCCGGCGCCCTGACTGGGACTAGAACACGGTATGCCGGCGCTGCAGGTGCTGCGGAGCATTAGCCTATTGAGCCACGGCACCAGCCTCAGGAAAGAATTCTTTATTACAAAATGCATCCTGATATTTCCTATTAACTAAAAGCTTTACAACAGGGCACAACAACAGCTCGAGTCTAAAAACATCAACCAAAAAAAAAAAAGGCAAGTTAGAGGCTGAAGAGCTTAAAAGGCATGAAGAGAAACATTCCTGGAGCTAGCACTATGGCATAACAGGTAAAGCCACCATCTGTAGTGCTGGCCATCCCATATGGGCACTTGTTCTGGTCCAGGCTGCTCCACTTCCGATACGGCTCTCTGCTATGGCCTGGGAAAGTAGTAGAAAATGGCCCAAGTGCTTGGGCCCCTGCAACCGCATATGAGACCTGGAAGAAGCTCCTGGCTCCTGATAGGCGCAGCTCCAGCCATTGTGGTCAATTGGAGAGTAAACCATCGGAAGGAGTATCTCTTTCTCTCCTCTCTGTGTAACTCAGCCTTTCAAATAAATATATACATCTTTAAAAAAAAAAAAAAAAAAAGACAGCTTTAAAAATTTGCATGAATCAGTCTTATTAGAAGCCACAAGAGAGAAAATAAGGCATAGACTAAATAAGCTAGAGGGAAAACAAGTGGAAAAGAATAGAGAGGGTAGCTGTTATGGCATAGGGGTTAAGCCACTGCCTGAAATCCCAGCATCCTATATGGGCACCTGTTTGAATCCACTTCTGATCCAGCTCCCTGCTAATGGCCTAGGAAAGCAGCAGAGAATGGCCCAAACACTTGGGCCCCTGCACCCATGTGGGAATCCCAGATGAAGCACCTATTTTTGGCCTAGCCCAGCCTAGTCCATTGTGGCCATTTGAGTAGTGAACCCTCTCTATCCCTGACTTTCAAATAAATCTTTTTTTAGAAAATGATTAAAACATACTGAATTAAATATATCAAGAAATAACCTGGGACCAGCGCTGTGGCGCAGTGGCTTAACGCCCTGGCCCTGAAGTGCAGGCATCCCATATGGGCACCAGTTTGGGACCCAGCTCCTCCACTTCTGATCTGGCTCTGCTGTGGTCTGGGAAAGCAGTGGAAGATGGCCCAAGACCCCTGCACCCGCGTGGGAGATCCGGAAGAGGCTCCTGGATTCAGATTGGCAAAGCTCTGGCCTTTGTGGCCAATTGGGGAGTGAGCCAGTTGATGGAAGACCTCTCTCTCTCTGCCTCTCCTCTCTCTGTGTAGCTCTGACTTAAATAAAACCTAAATAAAAACAGAATTTTTTGAGAATCCAGAGAGAAATCAAGTCATAATAGGAAGAAAAAGGAAGATGGACTACTCAGATCTCTTAGAAGTCAATAAACCAAAAAGCTCCAAAGGTCTGCAGAAAAATAAAAATCTATCAGGAATTGTCTACTCTGCCCAGGTGTCTTTAAAACAAAAGGAATGAATATTCTTGGGTAGATAAGAAAAGTATATAAATCAGGAGCCTTTCGATAAAATTCATACAAGTAAGAAATAAATTGAGTGAATCTCATTATGATTCAGAAACAAGCAGTAAAAGGGGTGTTATGTACACTTTAGAAATTAAAAAGAATAGGAAATTAATATAAGGCTCAAATCCAATACTATGAATACTATCCATATATAAATAACATAACCAAAAGAGGAGAAGCTCTTATGTTTGCTGGTTTCTATTCTTCGTAGCAGGCTTAACCTAAATCCCATGCAGCGGGGCAATGTACAGTGGGTTAAGCTGCCACTTGTGAGAGTCTTTGGCTGCCCTGCTTTCAGTCCATCTCCTTTTGTCTAGAAAAGTACCAGATAGGCCGGCACCGCGGCTCACTAGGCTAATCCTCCGCCTGTGGCGCTGGCACCCCAGGTTCTAGCCCCGGTTGGGGCACCGGATTCTATCCCAGTTGCTCCTCTTCCAGTCCAGCTCTCTGCTGTGGCCCAGGAAGGCAGTGGAGGATGGCCCAAGTGCTTGGGCCCTGCACTTGCATGGGAAACCAGGAGGAAGCACCTGGCTCCTGGGCTCGGATCTACGCAGTGCGCTGGCCACAACACACCAGCCGTGGCGGACATTTAGGGGGTGAACCAACAGAAAAAGGAAGACCTTTCTCTCTGTCACTGTTTTTTTTTGGACAGGCAGAGTGGACAGTGAGAGACAGAGAGAAAGGTCTTCCTTTTGCCGCTGGTTCACCCTCCAATGGCCACCACAGCTGATGCGCTGCGGCCGGCACACCGCGCTGATCCGAAGGCAGGAGCCAGGTGCTTCTCCTGGTCTCCTATGGGGTGCAGGGCCCAAGCACTTGGGCCATCCTCCGCTGCACTCCCTGGCCATAGCAGAGAGCTGGCCTGGAAGAGGGGCAACCAGGACAGAATCCGGCGCCCCGACCGGGACTAGAACCCGGTGTGCCGGTGCCGCTAGGTGGAGGATTAGCCTATTGAGCCGTGGCGCCAGCCCTCTCTCACTGTTTAACTGCCTGTCAAAAAAAAAAAAGTACCAGATAATGGCCTATTTGGGCCCCTGCCATCCATGTGGAAAATCCAGGCTCCTGGCTTAAGCCTGTCCAAGATCTAACAGTTGTGGCCATGGGGGGAGTAAACCAGAAAACGAAAGATCCCCCCTCCCCACACATGCACACACTCGCTCAGACTCTCAAATAAATAAACCATATATGAATCTAGAAAAGTAACTCTAGTAACACTTGTGTTTTTCATAATTTCATGAGGAATCTTTTAGAACTAGATTTGTGGAAGAAAAACATTAATTTGAGCATATTCTCAATTTGTTTCCTTCTATTAAATCTAAGTGAAATTAAATTGCCATATTAAACACAACATCTGAATTTACTTTTGTAAAGCTGTTTTTACATATGCTTAAGAGAGTTGGTTGGAAAGAGTGAAGATCATAAAAAATTAACTGCATATTTCTGATAGATTTGGTTTTTATACTTTGTATTTTTATAAAATTTTTTATTTAAATAAATAATTTCTAACCAGCCAAAAATGAGTTGTTGGAGTTTAAAGTGTTTTGTAAGCACACTAACACATTTTACGTCTTGTTAAAACTAGAAATTTTAACGATTTCTATGGAGAGCAATTTAGCAAATATAGCAGAAACCTTAAAACTTTTATCCTTTTGCCCAGTATTCCTATTTGTGGGAATTTAACCTAATAGAATAATTAAATGTATACACATTTTATTATTAGTTATGATTATCATTATGATTACATTTATGATTATCATAATGATAATCATGTTACATATATTTTGAGAAAACCTGGGTAAATGTCCATCACAATGGAATTAAGTTATTTGGTATGCATTTAATCCAATTTCTAAATAATTTAAATGGCAAGCAAAATAGAATCTCCAAGTCATTAATCATTAAACAAAATATTTCAAAACGATACAATCGTAACATTGCATTCTTGGGGCTGGCATTGTCGCATTGGATAAAGCTACCACCCGCAATGCCGGCATCCCATATCGGTGCCAGTTCAGAGTCCAGCTTCTCCAATTCTGATCCAACTCCCTGCTAATATGCCAAGGAAAGCAGAGACAAGGAGGAAGCTCCTGACTCCTGGCTTTGAATGGGCCCAGCTACAGTCATGGTGGCCATTAGAGGAGTGAACCAGCAGGTGGAAGATCTCTGTCTTAAAAATGTGTTCTTTGCCTGAGATTATTTTTCATACTTTACATAATTAACTTTGCAACCTTATAAAACTGAACTATTATAAAAGGTTATTCTCGTTTTGAACTTGAAACAGTTTTGTCAATCATTCAACACTGTCAGCTACTAAAGAGATGGGACATTAGATGCTGAAAATTACTAGACATACACTATCATATAAATAAAACCTAGGTTACCCATTCATGCCTTTTGCAAGTGACACATTGCTTTAGAAAGACAGACTGGGCTGGGGCAGTTGCAGTATTTTTGCCCCTCTTAGGTAAACTTCAAATACACAGAAAAGTGGGGAGACTACTAAGATGAACACCCCTTTATACCTCATCACCTGTTCTCCCAAGAACTAGAAGGGGTGAGATATTTGAACCAAACAAAATCTTGAATGCTGCAAGTTGTATTTTCACACAAAAGCACATGCTGGGTGAGATATGTCATTAACAAAAAAATGAGCAACTCAAGCACTTACCAGAATTCTAAAGATGCTGAAATTGTAATATGAAAAACTACCTGTAAATAAACTTGAACTTAACTCAAGGCTGTAAATTTAACAAAGATACCCTCAACCTCCTAGAATAGATTTCAAGTTATCTTTCACGTTGGGAAATATGGGCAAGAGCACAGGCAGTCTACTATTTTTAAGTAAAGTGTACCTGAGAAACCAAAATAAAAAGAACACACTATTCTTAATTTTTAGCTACTTATTATGCACATTTCCAAATAGATCTGTAGCATCATAGCATCACTTAGCCTAAAATCTGGGAAATCTAGGGGCTTAAGAGAAAACTACCTCCACTTACTATCTACACAGTCCCCAAACAGCTAAAAAGAAAAACCACACCCAGGACGGCTTCAGTCTGAATTCCGTAATGTTTCAATGAATGACCACATATACAATGGTGGCCCCCTAAAATTATAATGGGGCTGGAAAAATCCTGTTGCATTTTAACATCAAAGTCATTATAATGTAGCACAATACATTACCTGATGCTGGGATAAACAGACTCACTGAAATGGCAGTCACTAAAGTATGTCATATGGGAATGGCATTGTTTCCCAGTGGGCTGACCTGCCGCTTGACATCCTATATGTGCACTAGTTCGAGTCCCAGCTACTCCACTTCGAATCTACCTCCTGCCATTGTGCATGAAAAAGAAGCCAAAGATAGTCCAAGTACATGGATCCCTGTACCCACATGGGAGACCCAGATGGAGTTGGCCTAGCCTCTGACCATGACAGCCATTTGGAGAATGAACCAGCAAATGGAAGATCTGTCTCTCCCTCTAACTCTGCCTTTTAAATAAATAAATCATTGTTTTTAATAAAAGTACATCATATACAAATTTGTATACTATATAATGCCTGACAATAAATGACTATGTTACTGGTGTTTTATACACACACACACACACACACACACACACTTCTTTCCTCTAAAAAATATTTAGGGGTAAGGTGTTCAGCAGTTAAGACACTCACATTCTGAGCCAGTGCTGTGGTGTACCAGGTTAAAGCCCCAGCCTGCAGCACTGGCATCCCACATAGGCTCTGGTTCAAGTCTCAGCTGCTCCACTTCAGATTCAGCTCTCTGCTAATGGCCTAGGAAAGCAGTGGAAGATGCCCAAGTGCTTGGGCCCCTGCACCCGTGTGGGAGACCTAGAAGCTCCTGGCTTCAGATCGCCTCAGCTCTGGCCATTGCAGCCATATGGGGAGTGAACCAGCGGACGGAAGGCCTCTCTGTCTCTGCCTCTCTCTTTCAAATAAATAAAATAAATCTTTAAAAACTAATAAATAATTAAAAAAAAAAAACACCCACATTCTAAATCAGAATTCCAGAGCTCAGTACCTGGCTCTGGCTACTAACTCCAGCTTCCTGCTACTGCAGATTCTGGGAGGCAGCAGTAATGGCTAAGTGATTGGTTTTCTGCCATCAAAATAGGAGAACTAGATTGAGCTCCCAGCACCCAGCTTCAGCCCAGCCCAACCTCAGCTGTTGTAGACATTTAGAGATTAAACCAGTGCATTCTCTCGGTATTTGTCTCTCTCAAATAAATATTTATCATAAAATGCCAGCAACAGACATATACATCTCTTGACTGCATAAGGAGTCCATGTCAAATAATTAATTTGTATCATTAAGGTTTGTGTAAATATACCCCATAATGTCTGCAGCACTGTCCGAAACTACCAGATGAGTCATTTCTCAGAACTTTCCCTGATCATACATGATGCATGACTGTACTTCTATAATCACTGATCACAATCATCATTGCAATTAACATCCTAGCAGCTAAACTTTCCAGATGGCAGAATAGGACTCACAATGGATCATTTAGCACATAGTAGGTCCTCATTAAGAGAATTATCTTCCCTTCGCTCTAAAAGCCAGTATTAATCTCAATTAAAAATACAAAATACTCAAGGAATGGGTTCTGTGGCACAGCATGCAAAACCACTGTTTGGGAAACCCACATCCCGTATCAGAGTGCCACTTCCAGCCTAGGCTACTACATTTCAATTCAACTCCCTGCCAGTATGTTTAGAAAGCCATGGACGATGACTCAAGTACTGCAGTCTCTGCACCCATGTAGGAAACTCAGATGGGAGTTTTGGCTCCTGGCTTCTGCTTGGCCCAACCCTGCTGTCTATTATGTCTATTTTTATACACACACACACACACACACACACACACTTTTTTCCTCTAAAAAATATTTAGGGGTAAGGTGTTCAGCAGTTAAGACACCCACATTCTGGGCCAGTGCTGTGGTGCACCAGGTTAAAGCCCCAGCCTGCAGCACTGGCATCCCACATAGGCTCTGGTTCAAGTCTCAGCTGCTCCACTTCAGATCTAGCTCTCTGCTATGGCCTGGGAAAGCAGTGGAAGATGGCCCAAGTCCTTGGGCCCCTGCACCAGAATGGGAGACCTAGAAGAAGCTCCTGGCTTCAGATCGCCTCAGCTCTGGCCATTGTGGTCATTTGGGGAGTGAACCAGCGGATGAAGACCTCTCTCTCTCTCTCTCTCTGGCTACACCTCTTTCTCTGTAACTCTTTCAAATAAATAAAATAAATCTTTAAAAAAAACTCTGAAAAGAATAATTTCCATTTAAATTCCAACATGTAGATATGCTACCTTTAGATTCACTTTATTGCTCTGAGCTTCAGTTTTCATTTTCAATGACAAAATGGAGCTTCTCTTCAGGAAGGTTCAGGCCGGAGTTTAGCAGGAGCTGCTTCTAAAGAGAACAATCATTACATTTATGGCAGAGATTTTACACTGGGTAGTAGTTCAGAGTTTCCAGGGGAGACTAGACTGTAACAAAAAGTTTGGAATTTCTCATTTGTAAAAACTGAACTTGTCACAAATTTACCAAATTAAGAATTCCAGATAAAGTATTTCAATCTTTACCGGCAGATCATGAAAAATATGGTGGGGATCCACAGGTTGTATCTTGTTACCAGAATAAAAAGTATAAGAAGACATCCACCTTGATAAAAAGATATTTTAACAAATGCTTAGAATTGTCAGAGCACATACCCCTCAGGTTCATAAGAATATTCCTTCACTGAATACAAAACTGAAAACAGTTGTACATCTTATAAAAATCAAGCCCTTTAAGTTGCCTCAGGAAAAACAAAATGGAGACAGCACCTGCATCTATCAATTTCATATGGCAACTATGAAGATCCAATAAAATAAAGGACATGAAAATATCCTTGACATGTGGGAATGTAGCCTATTGCTTAAGATGCTGGTTAAGATGATCACATCAAACACCAAAGTACCTGGGTTTAATACCCATTTCCATCCAGCTGCTGACTCCAACTTACTGCTAAGGCAGACCTAGAGAGGCAGTAGTAATCACTCAAGTGTCCCATTTATGTGGGATACCTAAGTTGAGTTTCCAGCTCCCAGATTCAGCTCAGTCCAGCCCCGGCAACTGCAGGCACCTGGGAACTGAAGCAGTGGATGGAAATCTAGTAAGCACATTGCTTCTTAGCCTTTTAGCTAAGATCAAGGGTAGTAAAGCACATTTTTTGTCTCTGTCTGCTATAGACAGGAAAGAAAAAAGGAAGGTTCTTTAAATCTCTAAAAATTTAGAATACTCTATCTAAAAGAAGTCTATATTATTTTTCTATCATCTAAACTAGATGAATTAACCAAATTCATTCTTGTCCAAAAATATTTATTAACTTAAAATAGAACTACTTCAAACACACACAAAAGTAACATTTTCTGTTCAAGTATGAATATGTTCCACATACAAATATGTAGAAGAAAAAAATCCTGAATCTTCATGTAATGTAATTGTAATTTTATTTTATTTTTTTGTTTTTCACCTTTTAAAAAGTTTTTGGCACTACAAGGTTTTGTAAAGAATAGAAGTGACAAATTTAAAACACATGAAATTCTTTCCTAATTCTTAAGAACAATATATATAAAGTCTGAAGCAACCAAAGTATGAATACAGCTAATAGAAAATAAAGAATGTAATTTTTTAAATTCTCTCTTTATACAATTCATCAAGATTAAACAAAACATAAAATTCCCTTAAAAATAGGGTAATAAAATAGATGAAATTTGTATCACTCAATTTGTGATACTAGTAAAAACTATAGTTCATATTTATATACAAATAATACACCTTTTAAAAACAGTCAGAATTTAAATAAGCTATCTAAACGTGTTAAAATTTTAAATCAGGACCTGATTTGTTTTGCTTTCCATTAAATGTCACTTTTTCTGCTGAATGTAACTGACACTGAGGTACGGATACCCTTGAGACAGCAGGATTGGCTGGTTGCTGTGCATCGGTAGACCAGCTGAAAGAAAATGGACTCGCATTACTCCGAGACGTTTCCTCTTGGTGGGTGGGGACAACGCTCTCTACACCGACGGATGGCACATCTGTCTGTTGGATATAACACAGACAGGAAACTGAAAGGTGCGTGCCTATTTATCTGACAATCCCTTAAAATTAACTTGTAGCTAGTTCTTTTCTTCTATTTACACAATATGAGGAGATGAATGAATCATGTCAAAACATTGGGGAGGGGAGCAGGAAAAAGGAGGAGAATGTGAGCATGTGAAAGAAGGGAGAGGAGACAAGAGATGCAGGGTGGAATAAGAAACCCCTACAGAAGGACTGCAGACCACCCCAGCCTACACGGGCCTAGAGTATGACTTGGTCATAACTTCCCACAATCCTAGCTCTTTGCTGAAGCTGAAGAGAACCCAACCACAAAGTTCCCTCAGAATGTCTGACACAGGCTTGCCTCCCAGTAAACACACAGGCTGAAATGTATCAGGCCTGACACTTAGAGCAGGGGCCTCCCCTTACAGTTAGTGCTGCATTCGTCACCACTCCGAGTTTCTGCCTTTAATGTCCTGAACTTGTATTTTAACTATGAGACTGAGTCCAGTGTTCTAAACTCCCAGGCTAACCAAAAGCTAAAGGCCAGAATTTGAGGTTTTGCCTGTTGGAACAGACACTTCTGAGGTAAGTAGGTTAGATAAAATGTTCCAACTTTCTAGGAATTCTCAGTGTGTAAAATTCATTACCCAGGTTAAAACTGTTACTGCTACTATAAAAGCACCAGATACGCATAAAATATTCTCATGTGATTCAAGACTTACTTTTACTAAGCTAATCTATATCTCTCTTTGCTTCAAAAACTTCTATTAAATCCCTACTACTTACTATACCAAGTGCAAATTTCATAATACATATATTAGTGTACTCTCTCTAGCCTTATTAATTTTCCCATGAATCTCCATCCTCTAGTCCTGATATTTTCTCTTCTTCCTCATTATTTCAGACAAAACCCAGTGACTGTATGATATTTCTCAGCTAATAACAATATCCTTCCCTTTAATCTCTAAAAATTCACTAGGGAAATTTAAAATTTTAAATTTTTCAAATTTAAAAGACATGTTCAAATTTAAAAATCATGTATGATGTAATTTCTGGTACCCAAATCCTGCCCCTTCTGCCAGAGCAACAGTAACTGATTACACTAAATTCCTGGAGCCAGTGTTGTGGCACAGCAGGTTAAACCACCAGCTGTGATGCTGACATCCCATATGGGGTGACAGTTTCTATCCCAGCTGCTCCACTTCTGATCCAGCTCCCTGCCAAAACAACTGGGAAAGCAGCAGAAGATGGTCCAAGTGTTTGGGGCCCTGCCACACACACGGGTAATCCAGATGAAGCTCCTGGCTCCTGGCTTTGATCTGGCCCAGCCCTAACTGTTGCAGCCACCTGGGGAGTCAATCAGTGGATGGAAGATCTCTCTCTCTCGCTCTCTCTCTCTCGCTCTCACTCTCCCCCACCTTCCCTCCCTCTCCCTTTTTCTCTCTCTCCCCCCTCCCTCTCTAAAACAATCTTCAAAAATTAAAATTAAAATTAAAAAAAAATCCTACTCTCACCTATTTAACACATTTGGTTCTCATAATAACATGCAAAGAAAGCAGAGGGATTTTATTTTACTCTAGCTTGAGCAGTAAGCACCTAAATGTAGCCTGACATACAATATGCACTCTCAATAAATCTTTACTGAATGCATGAATTTTCATTCCTAGATCTTGGCCTTGTCTGAGGCTCTCTGTCCCGGAATAAACCCACCCAATCTATTATCCAATTTGTAATAAATGGTACCTTGAGAATAGAAGGGTTTGTTGGGCTGAAATCTGGCATTTCCCTGATGCATGAAGTTTTGATGCAAACCATAAGGCCACGAAGCTGGGACAAGGGGAAAATGGGGACGTGGTGCATGTTCCCAAGGAATTGGAGGATTCAGTCCTCGAAAGCCTGGCTCTGCATTTCAACAACAACAACAACGAAAAAAAAAAATTTAAAACATTAGTTTGTTGATTCAAACATTCCTTCATTCTACAAAAATATATTGAGTATGTACCAAAAAACAATTTTTTTAAAGTTAGTAAACACTTCTATTTGATCAAATTATTCACAAGACAGACAATATAAAAAGATAAATACAACAATATTTAATAATTCCCATAACACATAGGAAATACAATATTTAAATACAACAATATTTAATAATTCTCATAACACATAACACCCCTTCTGAAGAGGGGTATTATACCAGTTTCTGAACTTAGAGAATATCCTAAGATCAGCTAAGTTGAGTTTTGAAGAACAAGAAACCAGTCAAGCAAAAGGAGCAAGGAGGGCATTTTCAAGTAGAAAGAACAGCATTTACAAAAGCCTGAAAGCAGGAAAGTACAGCAAATTTGGGAGCTATAAAGCAATCAGCAATACAGACAGGGCAAAGGAGGAGGTACTAAGTAAAAGGGCTGGACAAGAAAGTGGATATATAAATGTCAAAGAATCTTAGTTTATTTTTTTTAAGATTTTTATTTATTTATTTGAGAGATAGAGTTACAGAGAGGCAGAGAGAGACATAGTATTGCATCCTATGGTTCACTCCCCAAATGGTCACAACAGCTGGAGCTGGGCTGATCCGAAGCCAGGAGCTTCTTCCAGGTCTCCAGCATGGATGCAGGAGCCCAAGCACTTGGGCCATCTTCCCAAGCAGAGAGCTGGATCAGAAGTGAAGCAGCCAAGACTAGAGCTGGTGCACCAGGCAGAGGATTAACCTACTGCACCACCCCACCCTGCCTCTTGTCTTTCTTCTAAGGACAAGAACAATCATAACAGAAATCAACTAGTATCTTGGATGAGAGGAGATCCTATTAGAAGTCTGAGGCACTATGGTACAATTGTTGAGAAATTGGGCTTTGCTCTTAAACAGGTCTGAATTCAAATCAGTTCCAAAAATCACAAAAGTCCCATTGTAAATCTCAAGTTGTTTTGAGTATCACATGAGATAACAAAAACAAAGTGGCTTGTACAAATTCTGCACATAGATAGGAACTCAAAAAATGAGTCATGTTCTTTCTGTGGCTAACTACACCCAAAAATCGTCTTAGCTTCCATAAAGATGTATCTTTAAGTACATTTTTCTAAGTGCATTACCCAGTGAATCTTCTGGGTCATTCTGGTGTTTTGTTATTCAGGGTCAAAATGTGTTGCTACAGAATACCCGAAACACATGGCATTTATTAGGTAAACTTTTGATCAACATAGAGAATTCAAATTAGAATTTAAGGGATGGGGAAGAGTAGTTAGCTACTTTCTTACAAGCTCAGTCTCATCAGAAGATAAAGAAAATGAAGCAGATACTCTAAACTCTTAAAGCCATATTTTACAACTTA